CTCCTAATCTGACAGATGCAAACTGCATGGGTTTGGTGGACATGCCTTCGCGTTACTAGGAATTAAATTCATCAGATACGTTTGGCTTCCAAATTATCGTTTGAGAACACATCTTTTGTATTAACTTCTATCATTCTAGGTGCCATCCCCTTACCGGGTGGAACCTAACATTTGCTTGCGTGCTCCCTTAGCTTCTCCCTGTGTATTCAACGACCTGGAAACTCTGCTTTCTTCTTTTTCCATCTCTGCTAATTTGGGTGTGTGCCATCTCACCGCCTTTCAAGAAGCGGCAAGAAAAATTAAAGGGAGTTTTGAGAGCGAATAGCTTGCAGAAGGAGATTAGTTGCGATATAATATAGCTCGTGCACCAGGTGTCACCATAAAGAGACCACAGATGGCAGAAAGCAGCCGCATGTTATAGCTCCCGGTTAGAGCACCTTCCGTCGTCTCCGTTGTTGCCGGATCTACTCTTCTGGAACTTCATATATCGATCGAATGGCAGAAAAACATACTGAGTCAATCCGCCCGGGAATCACAGGCAGCTCCTCTCATCTTGCTTCCACGTAGGTTACTGTTGATATTTTTTAATTTTCAAATGTCCGATCTTTTTTTTTTCCAGTCAAATTTATTTATTTTTAAAATCCATTTGAAGTTAGCAGCTGGAATGATGGATACGAATATATATGATGTATTGCAGGTGCGGCAATGATTTTGTTGAGCTGGTTTGGGAAAATGGCCAAATCCTGGTGCAAAGAGGGTCATCGAGCAGGACACCGAAGAGGCCTTCTTGCTTTGGTTATTCCATAAACCCTCACATGACGCTTACGACCAAGATCACGGCATCGCTAAAAGAGCAAGGCTAAACACTTTCTACTCGCTTTTGGACTCTTCCCATCAAAATTCCCCACAAACCAATGACCCGTCTTCCTATGCGTTTGATTTGAAATGCACCGAAAGCAACAGTTTCAGTAATAAGCGCAGGGATGAATCTCCGATTTAAGAGCAGAAAGAGAATCTAGTTCCAAGCCCACCGGGGGGGATACTCAGTTATGCTCCACTTCCTTACAGTCCCAGAAGCATGACTTGGGTCTGATCAAAGAGTTGAAAAGATTAATTTCTCCAACTTCCTGAGACCTGCATTGTTTTCCAAATCTACTTATCAGGGAAATAGTGCAAGTGGGCATCCAAACAGTGGCGTTTCGGCTAGGGTGGAGGAGATCAAAGCAACTGATGGTGGCAGTAGCAAAGCTCTTGATCATTCCGTTGTGATTGACTCGGCTAAGGGATCACATAGTCCCAACGGAATTCATCCTGGCCAAGCAGCTTTTACTTCTAACAAAGCAAGCTCACCGACACCCTTTGATGGAAAAAAGGATCAGGAAACACTCCCTGATGAACAATCCGAAGCTGTTGGGTGCGATAGGGCCCTCAAGAGTCACGGATCACATGGTCAATATCATCATCGCCAAACACACAGTAGAAAAGGAAAAACAGCCGCTGAGTTTTCTGATGCACCCTTGGTAGCATCTTCTTCTTTGTGCTCTCTTGGAGCCTCGAATGACCCTACTATTCGTAGTACGAAACACGAGGACACCGACGATTCAGCCTATACAACTGACGTAAGTGGAATTCTGGAACCCTAGCTGGATTGTATTGACCCTTCGAAGTGTTTCAGTTTCCGCGATTTTGAGCAACCTGGCTATCATTGTGCAGAATGATGAAGAAACAGAAGATACGACAACAAAGGAAACGCCGGCTCAAGATGGTTCAAGAGGCAAGAGAATCAGGAATACGAAGATGCATAATTTATCGGAGAGGGTGAGGAAGAAAATACACACACACACCCGTTCATATAGGACAACCGAAGATAATCCTATTAACATTGTGTTATTATGGGTCTTAATTGATTGTTTTGGATTTCTGCAGAAGAGACGAGATAAGATTAACAAGAAGATGCGTGCATTAAAACAGCTAATACCTAATTGCAATAAGGTATATAATTTCCCCCAACAAGTAGAAGCATTAGTGAAAAGGAGCATAAATTCGAACCCTGACACGTGGTTTAAACATCTATATATCTATGTAATACTTTGATAATTAATGAAGCCCTTTGTCGTTATTTTAATACTAATATAATATCTTACTGGATTTGTGTGTTTGTATGGATGTTAATTAATTAGATGGACAAGGCTTCAATGCTGGACGACGCCATCGATTATCTGAAGACCCTCAAGCTTCAGTTGCAGGTAAAGTAGCTAAGATATTTTCCACTGATGGAACTGTTCAATTAGGAGGGTTATAATGATATGGATGTGTTAAGTAAGGCGCGTGCATATACATATAACGGATATATAATACATATTTGCAGGTATTGTCAATGGGAAGTGGGGTTTGTATGCCTCCAATGATGTCGATGTTAGCAGCAGGAGGTTGTGGGCAGCAGTTAGGCTTAGGCATCCCTTGCAGCCTCCCTCACCATCAGTTTGCAGGTGGCAGTATTCTTCCACAGCTCCCTCCTCACCTTCACAATAGTCTTCAAATGCTTCCTGGTTTCCCCAGTCATGTGCTTCCCAATATTCAATTCCCAATTTCCCAACAGTCACCTTTCATTTCCATGCCCCCCAAGCCTATCCAACCCTACCTCTCTTCCCACCTAACCACATTTGATCGCGACCCTGACCTTAATGCACAGCTTGTTTCAGCCGCACCTATGCCAAAAGTTGCTCAGGTTTGTTCCATCTCCACTACCGTTTACTATAATATAATATAATGGACTGCGACCTGAATGGGATGGATTGATTATGACCCTTGGAAGTATCAAGTGAAAATCTAATCTTCTTATATACACCAACATAACCAAGTCAGCCATTCTTGTGTTTTTTCAGTTACGCAAAGTAAACATACTTCATGTATATCTGTCAGATACATTATTTGTGCAAAGACAACAAAATATGGGATTCTTTGTTATCATTTTTTTAGCCCCCCTCAAAACTGATTAATTCAATTAATTTTCAAATTAAAAAATCGGGAGCAAGATAACTTAAGCCTAAAACTCGAGTATTTCAACTCCTATGCCAAAATATGCTTTTGGAATGTAATTTTGGCTTTCTGCGCACGTCTCTCAGAGTCGCCAGACTTGATTGGCCATCGGTGAGATTAGAACTGAGAAGTTTGAACACATCTCTGTATAAACTTCTCCAGGCGTGATTAATACCACAAACGACCGATAACGTAAATAGATAGATGTTATTCCATTGTTTCTGAGCTCACTACAGCCCTAAAAACATACTTTTTGTCAGTAATATGGTTTTATTCGGCTTACCTTTACGCTTACCACTAGTACTGTCGCATTATGCAGGGATCAAATCCAAGTTGATGCGCATAGCTTGGGTGCAACGTTTAGAGGAAATGAATGGAGTTTGAAGTCGCTGCTGAATCTTTTCAGAATAAAGCAGTCAGATCGATCAGCTGTCCCGGCCGGCCGGTCTACAACAGCAATAACCTTATAGAATGAGACAGTACTTGGAAGCCTGTCTGAGGACTCACAGATCGATATGTATAGGCGTAGGAGCAGCAAGATTCACACATCCATTACAGACATCATTTTACATTTAGAGTCACCATATCATATCACAGTTTCTTTCTTTCTGTTTTCCCCACTCTTTGGTGGGCAAACTCGATCGCTTCTTCTAATGAACTTATGTTGATTGCGTTAATGTTGTGGACTAGTTTTCCTTCTTTTACTGACGGATAATGATTGTGTTCGATTCCCATTGCTCCTTCCTCGTTATATTATTTAATATGATTAAATTTCGCTATTCAAGGAATGGAAATGTAGCCATTTAAGCTAAGCTAGTTGGACCACTTTTGATCTTGTCGCAGGAATTTGTAAAAGCAATTTTTTTTTTTTAAAAAAAAAAGCGTAGTAAAGTTCTGCTCGTATCAGTCACTTTTTTTCTTCTTTGTTTTTTTTTTCCCCTCCTCCTACACAAGTTCTCTCCTATCCCTGCAACGAATTTAGGTTGTGAACGGTGGTGTAATGCTCCGTTTCAGACTGAAAAACCACAATCAATTGGATCAAGACTACAATAATGTTACTAAAGAGAGAATTTGTAAAAATGAAGAAAAAGAGAATAAAGTTCACTTATATGAATATCATCATAGGTTAACTTTCACCTTATACAAATTAAAAAAAAAATCTAAAACACGTATGTTTGTTTTAGAATTTGTTTCTTCGCAGACAATCTAAAACACATTGTATAGACAATTTTTTTTATTTGAAAATTTGTCACCCTGTGCATGTTAAAAATATAAACTTGTTTTATTCCCATACAAATTGCTTTACAATTTGTTACCTAGTACATTTTGAAAATTTAAAGAATAATTTGTTGTTACCCTCGTACATATTTCATTCCCGAATTTATTATTTTGTTTTTAAAATTTAATAATTTGTTATTATGCTGTATATATTTTATTCTAAAATTTATTACCCATACAACTTGAGTATGGTAAGTTATTTTAATAATGACTTGTAAACTTCTACAATTTATTACTCTTTTGCATACTAAAAAAATTTATTTCACAATCTAGTTAAACACGCTAAATTTAAAAGGATTTATATACTAAATATGAAAGAAATAAATTATTATGATATAAAAAAAATGTCATGACTTATATTTTTATTTTTTTAAATAAAATAAAAAATGAGTACGGCCGAAAGGGGAAAAAACTCTAAAAGGCATGTGCTTCCCCATGGGCACTGGGGCTAAGATCAGACTCATTTTTTCGGCCTACTCTCAGAAGGGGCCTACTCGGATTAACTGGCCCAAATCTACAACACGAGTACTAGAAACCCGCCACAAAAATCACACTTTTCCAGGACTCCAGCTCCAAAATAAAGCCCCAAAATTTAAAAGAGAACCAGAGCACGGGGCCACGCCATTCAAGCGGGACCCACGGCAATTACTAAACACCAAACGTCTCTCGTCTACTGTTGATTGATTCGACTGGACATCCGCAATAATCCCCCAAAAAAGGAAAGAAAAGGAAATTTCCCTTGGAAACAGAATACAGAATTATTTCCCTCACAAAGTAATAAAGTCCGACTGTTATCATAATAATAATAATAATAAAATACGACTTAATCGGATGAAAAGTTGTGGGTCGCGTGCGGGACCTAAACGCGTTGTTGGGATATCTTTTTCTCACCGACAAATTACAGTCACCCTTTTTCTCTTTAAGTTACATACCGTTTTTGTATATCATTTATATTTTTTCCCCCGAAAATTATAATAATTCTTAAGAAAATAATCAAAATAGAGACAGATGAGATATTCATTTACAACTTCTGGTCCGCACAGAACAGTGTCTACATGTAAATTGACTAATCAAACCGTTGGTCGTTTAGCCCCAAATAAAGCATAATAACCACAACCATTTCCAGATTAATGGAACTTTCACGCTCACGCGGCTTCCATTTCTGGAATTTTTGATTCTTTCTCGAGCTTGGACTCCGCAAGATCGTCTGAGAGCTTCAGATTTGAGAAAGCATCGTTTATAAATTCGGCGGCTTCCGAAGTTTCTTTTCCTTCCCTATCAGTAAACGCGTTTTCAGGTTCAGGAACTCCGGTCTCGTTGCCAACCGCCAGCTCTAACCTTTTGAACTCCTCTTCAATATCTTCTTCATCAAGATCCGTGTATGCTGGACTTCGTTCTGAAACTACCCAAAAGAAATGCGGTTAGAGAACAAAGAATCCCCAATAAAGGCGTCACATACAACTTCAGTCACAAATCATAACCACTATCCTGAGATTGCATTCAATCAATTCCCACGCGTGGAGAAAAATACCAGAAAAGAACAACTCGTTATAAAAAAGAAAAGGCGCGCTTCAAATGAGCGCACCCCTATAGAAGATAAGACAATATATACCTAGCGCCTTTTCAACTTCCTTTTGTGAATCAATGCTCTCTTGGATATCTCTTAAACAAACATCCACTTCCTCTGCACTGATCTTATTCTCTTTCATCGCTCGGGCTCCTAACTCCACGGCTTCAGAAACCTGCTAACAAAGCCCAGTCAATCATCAAATGCAAGAGTAGCCACAGTTCAGTAAAACCTTCAAATTCTGAAATTAACCAATCTCGTTAAAGATTGGCAAAATTCAAAATGCTCAGGGATTATATCCAAAGCTATACCTTTTTCGTGGATTCAGCATCGGCAATAACACGAAGTACTTCCTCTACTCTGTTCAAAAGTGAAGAACATTTCTCTCTACTCTGGGTGGCCAGCTTCAGCTCCCTAGCATACCTGAGAGCCAATTTTCTCTTTCCAGAATGTAATGAAGTTAGTGCTGATTGTCTTGACCTGCAAAGAAATATAATAAATCCGTGAGACAGGCAAACATCACTACATTATAGCTACAGCAGTACTGATATAAGGCCTAGTAAATGAGCGAGAGAGGTTTTCTTTTTATTTTCCCTCAGAAAGTTCTCTTCTCAGAAGCCACTCATACCTATACTAGTAGATATAATCACAAGGGCTTACAATTCATAACGTTGGTCAATCATATCAAGCTGTTGCTGAAGCCTCTCAGTTGTCCAAATCAAGTGCAGAATATCATAATCTAAATTAGATATATGGGATAAAGCTGATGTTGAAAGAGAAATTTTGATACCCTGTAAACACAGACTTGAAATGAAAATGCCTAATATTTCAGGAATAAAATTCAGATACATAGGATTGGCCTCAGTAAATGAAACAGTCTTGCGTAGCATTAACAATAGCCATAGAAAGGATGAAACCCAATTTTTTTTTCCTTCTGAAAATTAGTTTACGTTGTGGATGTTATTTTATCCCTGTATTTGGGTTCAACAATATCTAACATCCACAACCTTCTCAATCACTTATTCTTTTTGTAGAAAAGTAGTAATTTTTCATAGCAAGAAGCCAAGAATAACTTGGGCAACGGTTTGTTCCACAATGATACTATACCTCTACAAGTTCTTTCTTACGCACTGAAATATACTGTGCTTTTCCACACCCTCCCAGGTACCCCAAGATTGCAGATTTCTCATCAGGCCCTCCACATACTTCTTGGAATTTCTTCATTGTTACGATACATGATGAATTCCAGTGACTTTCAGATAGAAGTTTGATAACTTCAGCTGCCTTATCCTAAACATCAAGAAATGGCACTATAATAAAAGAATAAAAACTTGAAGTAATGGTATGGCAGACTCCATTATAGCTCATTGACTAGCTTACACCGGCATCACATTGAAACCAACAGTTAAAAAAACATACAGATGTCAAAGATCAACGTGCTCCAGAAACGAAACTATTCATACAGTCTATGTGCCGCGTAGTTACTATATAATTTTAAATACATCTTTTACTATGCTATCATCAGTTCATAAGAAAACAAACTATTGAACTTCTTAGATGATCATTTTGACATGTTATTGTTTCATTGAAAATATTTTGTGGACATGATATGGCCATCTTTGGAAAATTTTTGTCAATCTTCAGTGATAACGCATATTAAACGTCAGAATTGGACAGGTTCAAGAAAATTAAGAAGGGTAAAAGAAGAACTCCTGAAATAAAAGAATGGCTAGTTACCTTAAGCAGCATGGTTAGGATGAAAGGTTCTTCAGATATAATTTCCTGAGTCGTTGTTGACCTTGTTATTAGGTTGCTTACTTTTCTGAATAATTGGGAGAGTCTTCCACTAGTAGGATCCACAAGATCAGCAGTTCTTGTGATATCACCTTCATTATACATTAGAAACTGAAAAATGAAAATGTAAAAACAAAACCAAACATGAAAGCAAAGAAATGATTTTAGGTAGCAACTTAAGCTGGCGAGAGAAGAAAAGGGGGGGCCATCATACACCAAGTTGAAAGCATAAATCGACATAATTGAAGTATTCTACAACAAAAGAGTATGCAAAAAATGTTCAATATAAGCTTATATTGACATCATTAGATGGTTTACTCGGAGAGAGAGTGATTTGTTCCCCTAAATAACTACTTTACCAGCCTTAAGCCTAGCTAAAAAAAATCTTGCCCACTAGGAAGAAATGACAAGGTCCTTGTGAGAAAACATTTATTATAAATTGTAACAAGGTAAGGGGGTTAGAATACTTCCATGCGAGAATATTTATATTATACTACTATCCCAAAGAAGTAGTTATTGCCTTAGGATTGTTAAACTTATCTAAGAGTTCCTGATGAGCATTTCTAGATACATTGACACTATATTAACATTCATTACAGATATTTAATTTAAATTTAATGCGACATTATTTAAATAAAAAAAAAAAAAAAAAAGCAACGCGCGGGGGTTCTGGCTAGTTCGTTCATAAGGCACTGTGCCGGACAACTTATACAAGTTTATGAAAC